TACTGGATTGCCCCACGGACTTTCTTGAATTGCCCCACTGGGGGCTTACCAGTAATCCGCTTTTAAGATCGTTATCCTGAGAGTGTTGAAGACGACGTTTCACAGACAAGCAGCTAAGAGTCCTCCTTATATTGTAGCGAAAATGCGCACGAAAATCCCCGAAAATAACAGAGATTTTCAAAAAACACTTTCAAGGATATCAAAAAATTACTGAATTACCCCACATTACTCTATGTCGAAATATAGCGTAAACATTTTCCCAAAAATGACAGGTCGCATAGCTCAAGTTTATTCGCATTCTGCATTTGTTCTATCCAGGTCGGTGTTTACCGACCGAAAACATACGGAATCTGACTGGAAATCATCGAGAACCTGATGACCGAATTCTGGTTGATTTTCGGCGTCAGATCTGGGCTGAAATCTGCAGGAACAGGCCGTATCTGGTAGCCAGAATCCGGTCACGAGGTTCCCAATGATTTCCGATACGGATCTGCCGACGTTTCCCTGTCGTTTAATGAACCTATCAACTTTTCGAACTCCCTCTCGCACTGCTTGCACACTCAATCTCCTAACACATACACAAGCAGCTGTGTATTTATACGGACAAAATATCTAAATTCTGTGATTGATCGAGAACTTATCGCATGAAAATCATACGAAAACGTTATATACCTTTGTGCTTAGAATGTCTTCCACCGAGTCTAGGCTGCCGCTAGGCTCACTTAGGACTTTATTATTAAATGAGTATAGAATTACAAGCAAAAATAACACAGAGCTCCACAACTCTTTCTTTTGTAGAGAAACATGTACTCTGCATTCGTAGCTACCCGAAAAATATCATCTATTCAGGCTTCAGAGATTCAAGATCAAGTTTGAAAAATATATTAAATAGGCTTGTACTTGCAGGCTTCCGCTTTTTTTAAACTTTTTGATTGTAGATAAGTACAGAATATTGAAAAATTTATATAATTCTAAAAAAAAGAGAATATGCTGCCTGCATTAGAGTGTCATCCGCGTACGGACGAGAGAAATTGAAAATAGTGGATCGTCGAGAAACAATAATGGCAATTTATAACTAATCATTAGCTCTTTACTCAACGCCAGTTCAAGACAGTTCAAGAATTACTTTTTTGAATGTACTCTAATGCAACGTAAATTATACAATATTCTGTCATCTCTGATCTCTAATGTGTATAAATAATCGGAATTTATATCATATAAACTTTATTTTTAGTTCTAGTATTTCATCTATAAAAGATTTTTCATTATTAATTCGAATTGTCTTTAGCGGCAAGAACTTTATAATGGCTCGTCACACAGCCTTTCACGGTATCGAGAAAAATGCACGAACAGAAGTCGATGAATATGCAGGTGAATATGGTCGATCTGTTGATGATTATAATTATGCATTATCGCCAAGAACGGAAAGCCATTTTATATACCCTGCAAACAATGAACAACGTGGAGCAGAAACATCTTTTGCATCTTTTGTACAACAACCGAAAAAGAAATCGAATAAAACGAAAAAATCCAAGGCAACAAATCAACAACAACAAGAGGCAGAACTAGGAGATAAACAACAATATCATCGTGGACGTCAACAGTCGCGTGATCACGATCTTCTGTTCGAAATGGAACATGAAGATGAGCCACCTGTTCCAATGAGTATATATCAAACTTTTACTTCCACTGTTTGTCTGTTTTATCATAAATACGCTATCTCTTTTTAGATGAACCTGTAACAAAGAAAAATGTCAAACAAACACCAACAAAATCTTATGAAAATAATAATGATAAGAATGATGAACTAAAATCATATAGCGGATTAGATAATCGTATAGCAACATTGAAGATTAGTGATCGTATCGATCGTAGTTTGTCGCCTCCAAAATCAGCAAATGTTTCGGCATGTGTTACCCCAAGAAGCGGCGTCTCACCTGCTACACGTAATTTAAATGGAAAAAAGCCCGATACCAATACTGATAACATTACAGCAACAGTAACAAAACGTCGTGTTGGTCAAACTGATCGCTCAAATGTATTGAAAGAATATGAACAACGTTTAGACGGTAAATTGACCTATTTTTTTACTTCGTATCCTGCGGATTGGTTATAAGATCGAAGGACGACTTAACTGTCGATTGGTATCTCCTTTCTAACGTACTATGCTGATATTTGCTCTACTTTTTTTTGTATAACTCTTGTTTTAGGTAAAGAATTAATTAATTTGGTTGTTATCGGTCACGTTGATGCTGGTAAATCGACAATGATGGGTCATTTATTAGTCAAATTGAAAGTCATTGACGAACGAACGGTGCATAAATATCGGCAAGAAGCACAACGTTTGGGAAAAGAAAGTTTTTCATTTGCATTTGTGTTGGATGAATCGGAAGAAGAACGAAAACGTGGTGTAACAATGGATATTGCTCATGCACAATTTAAAACACAAACAAAAATTGTGAATTTAGTTGATGCACCGGGACATAAAGGTGGGAAACTAACAAATATTATTCATATCGCTAATACGTGGTCATTGTCTTTTTAGATTTTATTCCAAATATGATTAATGGTGCTAGTCAGGCTGATGTGGCGATATTAGTTGTTGATAGTAGAAAAGGTGAATTTGAGACGGGTTTCGATTTCGGTGGACAAACACGAGAACATGCACTATTAATTCGGTCATTAGGAGTTGCTCAAGTAATTGTAGCTGTTAATAAAATGGACACTGTTAATTGGTCGTATGAACGTTTTGACGATATTGTTAAAAAACTACATCAATTTTTAAAAACAAGTGGTTTTAAAGAGCAAGATGTTTATTATGCACCAGTTAGTGGATGGACAGGACAGAATTTAATTGAGAAAGCAAGTGAACCAGCATTATTAGACTGGTATAACAATGATACACATCAGTTGCCAGTGGGTGTGATACGATATGCAACATTATTAGAATTGATTGATAAATTGAAACCTCCTGAGAGGCCAATATCAAAACCGTTTCGTTTATGTATCACGGATGTGTTTAAAGCAACGGGCGTTGGAACAGGTACAAGTTCAATATCTGGTCGTATTGATAGTGGTGGAATTGAAATAAATGAAAAAATATTAATAAAACCTTCGAATGATATAGCACAAATTAAATCAATACAAATTGAAAATGCAAATGTACCATCAGCGTTTGCCGGTGATAATGTCGTGTTAAATATAATTGGTGCTGATCCCGCACATTTATTTATCGGTAATGTTGCTTGTGATCCCGAATATCCAATATCTACGGCAACTGTTATTAAAGGACGTATTCTGATATTTAATATTACAACGCCTATAACGCCTGGCTGTCCAATCGTTTTTCATTTTAAATCCGTACATGAACAAGGAAATATAACTAAATTATTAGAAGAATTAGATCGTTCGAGTGGTGAGCTGAAAAAACGAAATCCACGTTTCTTAACAAAAAATTCTAGTGCTCTAGTTGAAGTAAAATTACAACAACGAATATGTTGTGAACTTTATTCAAATTTTAAAGAATTAGGACGTTTCATGTTGAGACAAGGTGGTAGTACAATAGCAGCGGGAATCATTGTTGATATTGTTGAATGAAATCAAAGCATTGTATTTACTAATTTGTTTTAGGCTCTAAAAATTTGAACAGTAATCGTTGTTTGTATGCATTATAAAAAAAGTTTAAATACGTCTCTCGACTCTCAACATATATATTCTTTCTCTCTCTTTAGAAAAACATGATACCATTTTGCAAATGAAAGCGTAGTGTAATCTTCTTCTCCTTGTCCATACAGTCAGTTTATGATACTTTTTTTAAAATGTTTTTCTTGACAGTTTTTTTTTGTCTTCATTTATACTTTTTGGACTCTAAAGAGTCAGTTATTATTTGTTTGGGTTGTTAAAATAAAGTTGTATTGTTATCTTGTTAGTTAAAATTTTGGTATACCTCCAATCCAAGGAACGATAACAACTTAGTATCAACAGTATCAACATGTTTACTCACCTGAGTAATACTCAAAAAACTCTTAGTTTTATGTTGAGTCAAACGATGGCACAAAGAAATTGACATATCAATAATTGTATCTTTGCGTAATATAATTTATCTTTATTCGATTAAGTAACTGTATTTCTTTTACTCGAACCGATTCGGCTAGGCTAAGTAACTCGCTTTCAGCATGTAGCGTTGGGAAATCTTTTGATCAACTATGTTAAATATTGCATAGGACATACAATAGTTGATATATAAAGCCTTAAGATGTGTTATATGTTTAATAATCGAGAAAAACATCGGTACTCACAAAAAAATTTTGTTACTCAGTAAAACTTCTCTCCCTCCTGAAATCTGTATCGAAAACGCAGTAGATAATAATAATACTAATTTAAACACTCCGTCTATCTGATCTGTTTAAAATGGTGGTGTAAGTAGGTTTTAGGGTGGCTAAAAATAGTTATGATGAAATGTACTTATTTCTATCATGGCATGCTCTTTGTCTATATTTGGTTTTTCAGATCGAAAAAATGTTATTCATAATTATTTATAGTTTTTAACATTCATTGCTTTAAATTTAACTATAATATGATCACTAAAAGTATTGAGTTTGTTTCGTTTCGTACATGTATATATCAAGGAACGACCGTTCCTTATTGTTTACAAATTTTAGCATGAATCCTATTCGACAATCGGTAACATTTTCAAAGAAATAATGAATTTTACTTTATTAGTCACTACGACTGAGATTGATTATAATAATTCGAATACTGTGAGTTTTTTCTTTCCTAAAGAGCTTAGTTTAATAATTGACATACTTAATTTTGTTTTCAGATTCCATCCGAATTGTCTCGATTTGTTTTTTGGTGTTGTGTTAGGCAACAACTAGAATTCAGTTGATCCGGATCTAGTGAAGTTTATGATATTACAAGAAGACAAAACAATGTTTTTTTATCGACTAACAACACTCCAGACCTTAATTTGTTTGAAGTTGCAAGCAAAACAGACAGAAAACTCTTTGTTTTTTACTTTTTGTATGTTTCCGGATTTAATGTAACATTGATCATTTTTCGTGTTCTTTTCGTGCATTGTGTATTATTTATATTGAGCAAAGAGCTTTTTTTTTGAAAAAGTCTTTATTATTCGAAACTTTGATTGGGAGGAAAATGACTTGGAGTTTTCTGTAGCATGTGTACTATAATTGTTTTCATAGTAATATTATGAAGCCTTATTCCTTAAACATGCTCCATTTTGCAAAAGTAACTTGCGTGCATATTTTTTTAATTACGTATGTTTACTATCGAATCAGAGATTAGTTTGAATAACTGCTTTACCAACTTAAATTGAACGAATCACTTTCGATTGTATCTGCTAGTTTTTCAAATGTAAACAGATAAAAAAGATATATTAATCTTTTTTAGTTATCTATATCTTCGTAATTGCAAAAGATGGCCAATATACCAAAAAATTTACCATGGTAATTATATGTTAGAAATGAACTTTTTATTTATGTTATACGCATTTTATTGTTGAAATTCAGGGTTGAAAAATATCGTCCAAGCAAACTTGATGAACTCGTCTCTCATAAAGATATTATTGATACAAGTAACCAAGATAAAATTCAAATATGTTTAGTAAGACGATCTTTTCATTTGTATTTTAGTTAAACGGTATATGGAGTTAGGACAAATCCCTCATTTATTATTTTATGGTCCGGCAGGAACGGGTATGTGTATTTATTATTTAGTCACTGAATTCAACGTGAAATTTATTTATTTTAAAGGAAAAACGAGCACAATATTGGCATTGGCTAAACAAATGTATACACCAAATGAAATGAAAAGTATGGTGCTCGAAGTAAGTTCACAAATGACTTTTCTAAATAACATTTTGTTATTTCTTTCGTTCAATTAGCTTAATGCATCTGATGATCGTGGAATTGCCGTTGTTCGAGAAGAAATCCAAACATTCACAAGTTCAAGAACATTACATAAGTTCGTTATGACAAATTGAATCATCAATGAATTATTTTATTTTGGTTTTGTGTTTTAGAAAAAATATTAAACTGATAATATTGGATGAAGCGGATGCCATGACAAATGATGCACAAAATGCGTTACGACGAAGTAAGAGTCACCTTCTTTCTTTCTCTCTCTCTCTCTCTCTCTCTCTCTGTTACTAAAATTGGTATATATCTTGTGGTTTTTCTTTATTAGTTATTGAAAAATATACTGAAACAGCTCGATTTTGTTTCATCTGTAATTATCTACAAAAAATAATACCGGCTGTACAGTCACGTTGTACAAGATTTCGTTTTGGACCGTTGACCAATGAGCAAATGTTACCACGTTTACAAATTGTTATCGATAAAGAAAAGTAGAAAAATTATTATTGTTACTGTTGATTTTCAAAAAAAAACATAACAATTTCTGATGTTCTAGTGTTCAAATTGATAAACCTGCTCAAAAAGCCATTTTAACATTGTCCAATGGTGATATGCGACGAGCATTAAATATTCTTCAGGTTTGCTGTTATTAAAGAGTGAAAATTAACTATATTTAGTCAATTTTGCCCTTTATTTGTTTCAGAGTACTCATATGGCATCAGGTAATGTGACAGTGGATGCTGTTTATGATTGTGTTGGTCATCCATCTAAAACCGATATGGCAATAATTATCAATTTATTGCTAAATGAAAATTTTACAGTAGCGTGTCAAAGTAAGTTCAAGCACGTAAAGTACCTTGGTTTTAATCGACACACAATCAAGTATTCTATTCTGATTTTAGAAGTTTTCAATAATAATATAATAGCTGCACTAATAGAATATACTCTTTTATTTTCTTATTTATAGAATTATCAGCGTTGAAAACATTGAAAGGTTATGCATTGGCTGATATAATAACAGAATTACATCGTTATGTTTATAAAAGTAAAGTTATTTAAACGATTTTTGTTTCATTTGAACTTTTATCGATGATTTCATTGATTTAGTTGATTTTACTCGTGATATTCGAATACATTTATTAAAAAAATTAGCTGATATTGAGTAAGTTATTTTGGACTCAAAATGGCAAGTTTTTTCATGTTTATTGTTTATAGATATCGATTGTCAAATGGGGCAACAGAAAAATTACAAATTAGCTCAGTAGTTGCTGCATTTCAACACGCTCGTGCTGTACCACCAACTGAAGCGGTAGCTTAGACTTTCTTGAAGTGAAATTTATTTTATCTAAAGTCAGATAGATTGATTATGTTTATTCTCGTATTGAGACATGTACAGTTTCTTAAGAGCTATTTGTTGAAATTTTTGAAATTATTTTTGCATGTTTATACTCTTCTTTTCTATGATTAAATAGTACAAAGTCTGAAAATAATGAAATGTTTTATTTCTTTTCAAATGTTTGTAAAGTATTGTGCAATAGCTTTTTTCTCCTGTAGCAAAATTATGACTGTATTCTATTTGAAAACAAGGCCACATAGTTTACAAAAAATGTATACATACATACTGCGATATCTATGACTACGGGAAGCGACCTGCATCTGTTTTATTCATACTTCATAGAAATAAGTCAGTACTAAAAACAGTATGAGAATAATATTTGATAAGGAATAACTCGTACTCGTCGTTCGATTTGATTGAAATGTACCAATTTTGCATCTCACATCATTTGATTTTTGACATCCTTCAGTCCCACCCGGACAATTAGCATTTATTTGTGACTGTAAGTAATGTTCAATATTTTCAAAATGTTTTCGTATATCATGATCGTTACATGTTTCAACACGACTTTTGATACATCGATAAAATACTTGTCCTTGATTACACCATTGTCGTTTTATTAAACTATTCCAATTATTGACAAATCGAACAACCCTCATTGGTTCACAAAATTGATTAACGGCACTTATTGAACAATAATCATTTTTTTGTCCAGTTGACACACTCGATCCCACACCAACATTCGTGGGATTATTGACGACTGTTTGATGATTACCACGTACGGAATCTTGATCAGGTACCGGTTTTTTTTCTTCCCATACAATATTTACTGTGAAATCTTCGATTTTACTATCACAGAATGTTTGTAGTTCGGATACTCGTCGTTTTATACCTATAAATCAAGTAAAGAAAAATTCACCCAACAGTAGTCTAAACGGAAAACTTCGATGTCCAAAAATAGTGCATCGATGCGCACTAACCTGACGTATTTTGGCAATAGTAAGAGTGTATTTCTTTGTTTGTGAAATCAGATCAATTTGAGCACATAGAACTTTTTAAAACTTAGCTAGTTATAGTAGAGGTAGTTGTAAAAAATTCTTAGGATCATAAACATAGTGAATAAAGAGCATTAATTACAACACATCACACCTTGCAGACGTTTAAATAAGTTTGAGAGGTCAGTGATGATAGAATTTAGAGTTTAACTAACAAATAGGCTAAACAGAGTCGAAAACTTGTATAGAACGAGTTGTATATCGGGCCTGGAATGAGTGAAACCTCTGTTTCATTAAGAAACAGCAGCGTCATCAAACCTATGTCATTAGAAATATCCGTACATCACACAAGAGAGTTTTCACTCACAAAAAGTACGATGATACCTATAGTACCTAGCGCACTCCAGATGCACAACGATGAAGATTAAGAAATGGAAATTCAGAATAAAATAACGATTATTTTTACTAATATTAATGTTAACATGTTCCTCATTCCATGAGATTGATAAATGAAAACTGCCGGATAGAATCACTTGAGAAAATATTTTTGAAAATGATACTCGAACAGCATTATCATATCTCTGTCAAACTTCTATAATACTTTTAATATTAGGTATGTTTACCTTTTAACATTGATTCCATGGCATTTTCATATTTTTCTTTATCTTCACATCCTCGATATTTCTTATGTATACACTCATAATAAACTTTAGATGCTAAACAATATTTTGTTGGATCATCTTCTTTTAATTCTTTTCCCGGTTTTTCACCACAAGCTCTTGACCCCATTACATCGCACGCATTCATTGTTGAAATAAATGTAAATATTAAAAATAAAGTGAATACAAATAATGAATAACAATGTTTTTCTTCTGAATAACAATAATACGATTTATGAAGTACAAATTTGACGATAAAACGAATGGTGGAATTTGTTAATTTATATTTCATCGTTTCGTCAATAATTTCAATTGAAATATGGAAAATAGTGATTGTTGTTGTATAACGCGATGTTTCATATCAGACAGAGGAATAGGTATAGTATGTACCGAGCTCGAAGAAAATCAAACGTTTAATGGTTTCTGTCGTTGTTGTTTATTTGTGATTATATTTTAAAAAAGCTCAAAGATTATAAGAAGCACGTACAAAAATCGTTTGAAAATATGAGACATCAACATCTTCTGCAGTGTGCTTATCAATTAGAATTGTCTATCTTTCTTCTTATGAAAATTACTTTTTCTTTCATCTTTTTTAAACGGCGTTCGATGAAATAGTTGACATTTAATTGGCCTAACAAACAAATCTTC